TTTGTTCTGGATGTGTACAGAGACTCCTGGTTGAAGCTGTTTGGATCGGCCTCAATACAAAGGCACACAAGGCACCGAGCAAAACTCGGGTCGGGTATGTCCTTAAAATGCTTGTGGAGTAACAAGTTGTATGGTCTGATGGCACATCTGACACATTGACACCACAGCATTACTGGAATAACCCTGGGGAAGCCAAGAAAACAAGATGCTTCCTCCCTTGACTACGTAGGCTAGAGAGCTAGCTAACTAGCTAGCCAGCTACCTCAAGTCGTTAAATTCACTCTTTGTTTGACTTCCTGAGGAGCCCCAGCAAACCAGGCAAGCTATATTTGAAGAGAGGAGTAACCAAACATTCATTCGCAGGTAGACTGTTGACCAGTATTACGGGTTGCCTGTTAAATACAGAAGCTGTATTTTATGTGGATAAACATCCATTCGCAGGTAGACGGTTGACCAGTATTACGCGTTGTCTGTGAAATACAGAAGCTGTATTTTATGTGTAATAATTATCCATATGGCAATGAACGAAAGGACTCACAAATTGGCATTTGATACGGGTTCCTGGCTTTCTGTAGATCAGTATGGTAGAGCACGCGCGAGTCGGACTCATACTGCGTTGTAAAACTTGTAGCTGGCTTTCTATGGACCAGTGTGGTCACGCACGTATGAGCTTGACGCATACAAGCGCAAAGCAACTGAAACAACTTTTTGCAGCCTCCCTTTAAACGTATCATGTAGACACTGTGGTCGTAAGAGCTTCTTCTGTGGACCCGTTGCTGTCTTGGTTTATTAATTTTTATCCGTTTACTTATTTGATATCTCACTTGGGGAGAAAGGCCTACTGCGGCACCACATGCACTTTTGTGTAAGTGTTGCGCAGTTGGTCTCATACGCGGCATCGGGATGCAGGCCTTTCCGATAGGCATGCATGTACGGGCTCGCATTTGATAAATACACAGTGTAATAAGCGGCAACGAGACAGCAAATTACAAACAAGAAAAACAATAATCAAGAGCAAACTAAAGACAAGGGCCAGAAAGCACGCAAGCCAAAACGAGCCCAAAGCCCTCAAGGGAGTGGAATGTTTTTAATAATTAGTGACTAGGAAATAATAAGAATATAGCCCAGACGTCTCGCAGTATTTTAGAAGAGCACTGCGTGACGGTTAAATACTATGCGATGAGCTCGTAGTCCGCTGTAGTTGAAGGGAGCAGACTTTGCTACACTCATCGCTACTTTAAGTCTCGTCGTACAGGCCAAGTAGCGCATACAGGAGCTTTTTGTGTACCCTGTATGCTTTGCAGCTGCAACATCAGTAGCTGCTGTTGCAGCAGATGGGACAGTAACTCAAACAGAGAAGGCCGTAGCTGCTGTTGCAGCAGATGGGACAGTAACTCAAACAGAGAAGGGCTACACAAAAACCCTTCCCTCGTCGAGCCCTGTAAATTCCGGGAAAAAAACCAAGCTTGCAAAATCATCGCACAAATCCTTGGCCCTAGAGCCTTTCCTTGTGTAGCATACGTATCTGGTGTGGCAAAAGCATCAAACAAATAAATGGCTTCCGCCCGATAGTTTCATGAGACACTCATATTGGACTGAAGAAGAAAATAAGGAGATTTGCTGATGATGCAGGCTGGTGTCTTTAATCACGGGACAGGGAAAGGTGATTTTGATCCCGCTGAAGCAGATGCCGGAAACTGTAAAGAAGTATAAACAAACGACAACATTGCACAGAGCAGTGTTGGATTGGTTCTCCATATGCCCATGTATGGCGTGCTGTGCGCCTGCTGTTGGGCACAGTGCATACAGATATGGGAAGAAATCCGACAAAAAGGCCAAGGGATGATACCTTCCTTCGGTATTTCAGAAATGGAACACCACTGTGTATTATGTTCTAAGGCGGCTCTCAGTACGCCTCGAGTTGTAGCCACATAAACGGGAGTTGCACCTGTGTTTTGTTCCCAGCTGCCAGTTTTTCCCGCAGCATAAACTACTGCTGTTTTGCAATTTAGCGTAGCCTTCAGCTATAGGTGCAGTAACAGGGTGCCAGCTGCAGTAACAGGGTGCCAGCTGCAGTAACAGGGTGCCAGCATGATACGTGCGCCTTCTGGTATGCTACTACTGTATTTGCATGCCATGTTTATAGCCACCCTGCTAGGGATATATCTACATTCGTCTTCAACCATACCACAGTAGATGCGTAAAATGTAGGCTTTATTCTCACAATGATCCTTAGCTCTCTACCGTTTGCCTAATAACGATACGTAACAACGTTACATCGGCAATCTGTTTCTATGGGGAGGCAATTACCTAGCAGCAATGTGCAGTTCGCTTACACAGAGTATGCGAATACTCCAAACTTTCAAATGGCATCAATGAATGTGGTGGTTGGTGTCCTGGGAACACAACACAGTCTAGACTGTCGCAGCTGTGGCATACAGTCTAGCAACAGCTCAAATGCCTCCCACTAACACGTTGATGCTCGGCTTTTCCTTCTTGTGATATAGACTCCCTCGGCATGCTTGCAAAATGATTCCATAAACCAACAGGCTTGCGAACGTTATCAAGCAAGGGGCAACTTAATATACACGACATAGTGCATGTTTAGCCGTGTTATTTAGCAAGTGTGACTCCATCGACTCGGACACGCATAGAGAGAGTGATCCCCGTGAACATGCAGGCGTGTTGCTGTATCAAGCAAACGATCCCACATCCCCGTAAACATGCAGGCGTGTTGATGTATCAAGCAAACGATCCCACAGTCTAGTTCTTAACCCAATTTATTCACTTAGCTCTGAACAGACAGCAAAATAGAAACTTAAACCAGAAACTTAAACTAACTCTACGGTTAGGTACACCAGCAGTTGTGTGCTCGCCGCCGCAGCCGTTGCAACACTAAAAACCGCAGAGGCTGTAGCAGCAACCGACTCTTTCTATGGAAATTAGCTGGACCAAGACAGCGACAAAATCGTTCCTCACCACAGCGGATAAACCACTGCGTCTAGACTTTCAGCAGCAGCTGTGTCACCAGCTCAAACGGCAGCAGGAGTTGCTCCTAGGGATGCAACGCTGTGAGCAGCAACCTTTTGGAGTGACAGGACCGCTAGTTGGTGTTGACTTCGGAGAGGCGTGAAGTGCAGGAGCAGAAGCACAAACGGGGATACCAACAGCAGGCAGTGAATCCGGCAACACAAGCCATCGCCGCATCTGCCGTAATAGTGGAAACAGCAATCGTAGCAGGAGAGGCCACTGCAGCCATACTAGCAGGAGCACCACATCCATTCTACATACCCCAAATGGGCATGTTGGAGAGACCGCAACGGTAGCTGGGCATGCCTGTTCTACTGTGGTGTTGGGGACTACTACACAATCGTTAAGCCGCCAAACCAAAGCTGAAAATTTTACGCAAAGCAGTGCCCTGGTCCTTCTTCAGGCATTCAATTTTGGCTAACCACCCGGCACCTATTACGTCAAGCACGGCGCATTCTTTTACGGCTTCCAAGTGTCTTGGCACACTGCCTTGCGGTGACTTGGCACCTGTAGTCCACTGGGTCGCCTGCCTGAACTACTTCAATCGGGTCCACTTTCTTCTGCCCCTGATGCTATCGACAAATCTCTTGCTTTCTGAGCCTATTCGCCCCATTCAGCTCATTAAAAATAATTCCCAAACATGGTCCGAGTGCAGCTCACTAGAAATAATTCCCAAACATGTTCGAGTTATATGGCCACCCAGGGAGGAACCCCGGGTTAGAATAGGACTGACTGTAAGGAATACAGTTATGATACCGGTGACCTCCACTGGGTTCAGCCGCTATTTCAAAAACTAACCCCGAGAAACCAAACCGAGAGGAAACAACGCTTCCCTAAAAACAGCTTTCCAAAGCAAGTGCCGACGCGATCGACCCCTACATAGCGGGTCCGCCCTATATAACGCATATTCCCTTTTCTGAATATTAAGCAACTAAAAGCCCTAATTCGTAAATATGGCGATGTCTATTCTGCATCCATACTACGACTGCCGTCAGCTAGCCTACGGGACCAACCGAGCTACACCTCCCTAGGTACCCTATCCCCTGAACATTGGTACTACCGACTCCTTTCTTCTAACAATTATCCTAATTTCTAACATTTAGCAATACATTTGCCCCTCTCAGACTTATACCCGCATTACTCAACTCAAGGGCCTATTGTAGTGTCGTGCACTACAACTTCCCCCCTTCCCAGACGTAAGCCGGCCCCCTACAGTGGAGCCTATCCATCCAGGAAACCGAAAACCCCCAAATCCACCAAAACAATGAAATAACATGAAACACACGGAATTCACTACTGGAAATACTACTAACTTTGACGTAAACAGTGCACGCCCTCTCGCACGCGATTGAGCGCATCCGCACCGGTTGTACGCATAACGCCCTTCGTCTCCGCACAAGCCTTGCTGATAGACACATAGCTCGGCAGTAACGAGGACAACTTCAGCATTGTCCTACACATTGCCTCTGCAGAAGGCAGGTGAGAGTGAGGCCGCGTGTAATTTCTAGGTGCTATGTTGCCGTGTCGTATAGCGATCGAGTAGGTCCCGTCGGCATTTATGGCCTCAGCCGGGTGCGGTATTTTGGACTGCCCCCGCGTCCACATCAGTTGACTGAAGGTGGCATCGCCCCGGTTGGCCTTTAAAGTGCGGGACTGCTCAGGACTTTTTCACACCCAATATAATCGCACTGCTGTTGAAACCCAGCAAGAGTAGGCTAGCTAGCCCTTTTTGCCGGTTAGCGATCGTGTATAACCCATAACCACATGTGCGGGGACTGCGCACAACCACATTCCAATGGTTCATCACTCCATCACTCGGTTCCGCCTGCTCTATGCTCTCGAATAAAGGCATCTTACGTTCGCCCCACCGGGGGGTCAGGGCGGCGTACCCCCCACTGTTCCGCTGGCATGCCGAACTGGTTGCGGGCCAGGAAGGAGGTCGGCTCGATCGAGAAGAAAGGGGCGCATATCCGCATCTCAGTGTGCCTCTACCCCTGGTGGCCTAGCAGGGGCAGATGCGTGCCAAGAGGCACGGAGTACAGTTCGCTGAATCCATAGCTCGAGCGCGGTAGAGAACCAAAGCGCCCAGTGTAGTGTGTCGAGCACTACACTGAGTGCGCTGTTCAGTGCGTTGTTCTCTACTCTAGTCTATCCATCAATGGGAATAAATTCCTTGATATTGGTGGGTGGAGAAAAGAAAATTATTAATAATATTTCACTTTACAGAAAATAGTGATATGGATACTAAATTCTTCTGCGCTACGTCCACAACCGGTGTTCCATGCTTGGACACGCCACTCCGAAACCCCCTACCAACCACAACAAGCAAAGCATTTTGACATTTATGTGTAAAATATAAACAATGTAAACACTCTTTAAGAAAAGTGATAAGCCATATAGGGAGCAAATGGTGTCTGAAGGTGAAAACTTTCAATTATTCTGAGTTCAGCCTCAAGCTGTCTGTACATGCTTGGTATTTACAGTGTCCAAACGCACATCATTGTCACAGTGTAAATGCCAACCTTATTCATGTTTGGTGGTTATATAGCATTCTCCTTAGAATGACGAGTGGTATGGGTGGATTGGCAAAATTTGTACTCCTCGCCATAATCATAGTATGACTGATGGGCTAGAGTAAAATTTGAAAAATGGGTTTCGGAATTGTGAGCTGCTACCCCGAAAAAAAAGTTTAAAAGGGGAAGCGAGGGAGCACCAACTACGGAGATAAAACCAACCGTCTTCACACGTCTGGAAGTTTCCTCGTTGCAACCGAGTGTGTTGCTGCCTTTGTCTTATTAGCCTAGTAGTGAAATATGATATGTATGTGCACGAAAATTATCTCCTCCTCTTTATCTTTTCGTGAAGCTGTCTGCTATGTAAAAGCGCACATTCGTAGATGTGTGGATTTGACGACATTTCTACAGTTGATATTACGGTGATGTGTGGCACCTGCCTGAAGTAGCATGTACCAACGACAGAGGCAGACCGACGCAGACAGGAAATAGCAACTAGAGCACCAGACAGCTGCAGACACTAAATAGCAGCTAGATCACCACACAGCTGCAGACGGTAAATAGCAACTAAAGCAGCAGAAGCAGTCCCTTCCTCCTGTTTCTTGGCCGGATAAGCTAACAGTTCGGGTTTAGGGGTCGGGTTGTTTTATCCCGACACTTAGGGCTTAGAGCTTGGGGTGGCCTATCCCGAACAGGAATAATACAGCTAGCCTCAGTCATTTGTGTCCTTTTTTTTCTTCTTTTGTGCACGCCAAGAGGCTGGGTATTGATAGAAGGGATATACATTTGGATTACTGAATATAGGAGGTACGGATACCGTTCATTCTCGCGCCCATCAAAAAATTGATGTTTGTCGTGGTAATGTAGAGCAAGCACTTTGAAGTCTCGGGTTGGTGGCGCCATGGTTAAAGGTTGCCTTGGTATTACCGGGTAATTAGATATAACGATATCTAGGGTTTCGGGCATGCCGTTTAGGGTCTATGGGTTGTGCTTGCTGGCGGTGACCTATGCAACCGTTATCATCGCTTCCAGCGCCGTTGTTCTCATCAAGCCTCACATTCCTTTTCTTGTGTGTTTTCTGCATGCTACGCAGCGATTGCTGCAGCAAAGGTAGCACCTGGTGCTGCAACAGCTGCAGCACCAGGTGCTGTTGTCTACTGGTGTTACTGCCTCTGTTTCCCACGTTTCAGCAAAATTGTCAGGCAGTTTATGTGTGCGTTAGGAACCAGAAGGGCCCTGTCTGTACTGGTTCTATTAGTGCTGCTGGTGCTGCTTCTGCCTCTGCTGCTGCCTTTTTCGCTGTGGGAGACTGTGTGTCTTGGTGCTACAGACTACACGGAAAGGCAGCCGAGCATGGCGGCCTCTTCGACTAGCAGATGGAGTTGTAGCGCCGTAGATCCACGCTTCTGCATTTGCTGCTGCTGTCTGTGTTGCTGCCGGCTCGAGGAAGCACCGCCGTCTAATGCTGTCCGCCTTCAGTTCAAGTCCTCAGATTTCCTTCATCCGTGATGCTTGTGTCTCTTCTCTGCCTTTTGTTTATGTCTGCCCCTACTCCTAATGTCTCTATTGCTGTTTAGAAACAGAAAACGGAGGTGTCTCCTTGTCTTCTCCCCCTCTTCTGTCTCCCTCACCCTCAGCCGTGAATGTCGGCTATCGCAGCAAAGCCCCACTAGCAAAATCCACCCTTTGGCGGCACATATATCAAGGCTCCTCTTGCTGCTACTGCTGCTACATTTGCTGTGCTTTGCTCCTCTTCCGCTGTGCATTCTCCCCCCTTTTGTACCTTCATCAATGTCGCGGCACGCTCTGCTGCAAGAGCACCAGCTGCTGCTCCTGCTGGTGCTCCTGCTGGTGCTCCTGCTGGTGTTCCTGCTGGTGCTCCTGCTGCTGCGATTGCCGCTGCGGGATATCGTTGACGTTCCTTCCCCCTGAGGCTTTTGTGTCCCTTCAGTTTCCGTTCTGCCGCTCGCCGTCGAATGCCGCTTCTCCTTGTCAACTGCATACCTGTTGCTGCTGCTGCTGCCCCCGTCACTTCTTTTTCGGGAGCTTCTTCTAGAACGGTTGCACCTGCACCGGGGGCTGCTGGATGCTTCGTCTTTGCTGCGTTTGCTGCTTTTGCGTTTGCTGCTGCTGTGCGTGCCTGTGTCCTTAGGACATCTGCTGTTGCGGTATTTACTACCACGACGTTTGCTGCTGCTGCCGCCACTGCCGCACCTGCCGGTATCTGCCTCCAGAACATGTTGTGAAGAATTAACTGCAGTATCCTCAGCAGCTAAACAACGCTGTGACCGCCAGTCCCTACTGGTTCTGCGTCTGCTGTTGCTGCGTCTGCTGTTGCTGCATCTGCTGTTGCTGCGTCTACTGCTGCTGCAGTTGGCATTCTGAGTGCTGCTACAAGACTTCTTGCTGCTGTGGCTGTGCCTGCTGCTCCTCCGTTCGCTATTGCACTGGTCGTCACGTGCGCTACGACGCTTGCCGTTGCCGCTGCTGCTACTGCTTCTACTGCATTTCAGTCTGCTACTATCGTCGTTGAAGTGACTCTGCCTTGTGCGCTTGTTGCTGATTATGCACCTTCTGCTGTTGCTGCTGCTGCTCCTCCTGCTTCCATTGCTGCATCCGTTGCTTATGCTTGTGCTTCTGGTGCTCGGATCTCCATCATCGCTGCTGCTCTGGCTGCTGCTCTGTTTAATGTTGCTGCGTCTGCTGCAGCTGACCTCTTCGTTGTCACCAGGGCTTTCCGTAAAATGGCCTGGCTTGCCAAGTTTGCTGTTGCTCTCTCTGCTGCTGCTTCTGCCGCTGCTGCTGCTGCTACGGCTGTTGCTGTTGGATGATCTGCACTCTCCACCACCGCAGCGCACGATCTCCTCAGAAGGCTGTTTCCCGCGTCTCCCAACGGCTCCACAGGTGCTGCTGCTTCTGTTGTCGTTGCCACTGCTGCTGCTGCACTTGCTGCCGTTGTAGCTGCTGGTGCAGTTGATGCTGTTGCTGTCGACGTTGTTGTTGTGGCCGTCACTCATGTTGCTGCACGCTGCATTCGGCTTCTGGACGGTGTCGCTGCAGCTGCTATTCCTACGGCCTCTGCTGCTGCAGCAGTTGCTGCTGTTGCTGTCGCTGATGAAATTGTTATTGTTGCTGTTGTTCTCGCTGCTGCCACTTGTTGTCCTCTCACAGTCCGTAAACGTACTAGGGGTGCTAGGGAAGGAGGCAGTTGTCTGCTGTGTGGCATCATCTCCTGCTGCATCAGTCGTTGCTGCTGCTTCTACATTGATCTGTACTGTTGAAACTCCCGCTGCCGCTGCTGGTGCAGCAACAGCTGCTGCTGCTGCTGGCGGCGAAAACGGTAGGCCCTTTGCAGCAAGTACACTGGCTACTGCCGCCTGGGCTGCTTCAAGTGCTGCAGACGAGTCAAATTGCAGCTTCCCACTTTGCAGCTGCTGCTCTTGCTGTTGCTGTTGCTGTTGCTGTAGTTGTTGCTGCTGCCGTTGCTGCTGCTGTTGCTGCTGGTGTTGCTGCAGGTGCTGCTGCAGTTGCTGCTGCCGCTGCTGCTTGGCCTTAAGTAGGCACAATTTGAGTGCTGCTCGCTGCGCTAAGCAAGCGGTGAGTGGATGCTCAGGCCTCTCAGCTGACGACCTCAGCGAGATCCCCCCAGCAAATGGTGTTGCACCATGAACAATCCTGCAGCAGCAGAAGAGGCAGAACCAGCAACAGAAGCAGCAGCAGCAGCAAGAGCAGCAGCATGAACAGCAGCAGACACACAAGCTTGCTAAGAATTTAAGCCTCGTAAAGGCGTCTACCCCCTTGCATGCGGCCCCTAGACCCTAAACCGTAAACCCTCAATTCAAGGGGTCAGGCAGTAAAGAGAGACTATGCCAAGGAAGCGTCTGTCTTCCGATTCGTTCTCTACGTCTCCCTGTGATTGCCTCTGTCCCTTGTGTCTCTGTCTCCTTGTCCACCTACTTATTTTTGCTGTTTGCATGGGGTGTATAGCGTCTCTTAGGAGGAGCATTCTTAAGGTATTCTTTTATTTCTTCTATAGAAGAATGAATAGCAGCAAACACACGGTGTCGCTGTCCTAATAGGTGATCCTCCACACGTCGGTCTGTTTCAGGCAATCCAGCTGTACGTACACCCCGCATGTATGCAGCAAATACCCACAAATCCTGTTGTACCTACAGCAACAACAACTGCAGTAGCAACAGATACAGCACCAACAGCAGCAGCAGCAGCAACTGGAGCATCAACAACATTGACATACCGTCAAGAAGGGCACCGCACACATCGCAGGGCCTTAGGTCTTGTGACTGAGAGCTCGCGCTGCTGCTGCTTAGGAGACACACACGCTTCTGCTGCAGTCTGGATGCAGTCGCATTCAGTGTCTCCGCAAGAGCTGTCTCCCCTAGCCTCCCCGCCTCCTCCGCCTGACGCAGACACCACAACCATAAGCCCTAAACACTAAACGCTAAACCCTCGATCTCTCAAGCGAACTACGCTAATGGGGTAGCTGGTGTTGCAGAGGGCTTGTTAGAATCTCCTTTTAGCCGTCGCCGCAGCAGCAGCAACAGCAGCAGCAGAAGCAGCGGCTAATAGACCCACCCGTTTGAGGGTTTTCGCTATATCTTCCTCTAGACGCTGGACCTGCCTCTTTGCTGCTGTCTCTCCCTCTGCTGCTCGGCGCTGCAGCACACCAGCAAACACTCCAATCATCCCTGCTACAGCAGCAGCAGGAGAAACAGCACTTCCTGCAGCAGGGGAAGCAGCAGCAGCTGCAGTAGCAGCCCAACAAAGGGGGGGCAGCAAAGGAAACAGACATAGTAGCAACGCTAGAAAGAGACACAAAAGCTAGTCCCTCAGAGGGTCCCCCTAATCCCTAAGAGGGGCCCCCATGTCCCTAGGGGGGCCCCCAAGTCCGGTAGGGCTCCCCTAAGGGTATTGTTGGGTACTGTTGTTAGTTAAATGATTTAATTTAAATCACATACAATTGCTTGTTGTATTTTACGTCGTGCATAATCAGCAAAAGATTGAAGGAGAGGAAGTGTCTCCTCCTCGAAGCCAAAGCGTTGTGTCTTACGGAGGTGTCTGTACACCTCACGTTGCTGCAGGTTGTGCTGCAGGCGGCAAGGAGAGAAACCTAGCCGCTGCTGCTAAGCGACACATGCAGCAGCAGCAGCAGCAGACAGATACAGACAAAGACAGACTGTTAACACAAGACACACAATGCACTAGCAACTACACTGCAGCAGCAGCAACGCTGCAGCAGCAACGGACACACAACAGCAGAATGGCAGCAGCAGCAACAACGGAGCAGCAGCAGCAGCAGTAAGAGACATATAAAATGCAATATTGGGGCAGTTTTAGCGTCATAAGCGAACCTTCTGCACACACACACCAGCAGCAGCAGCAGCAACAACAACACCAAATGACTCAAATCCACGCAGACACAGCAGCAAGAGCAGCAGCAGCAGCCAACTACATAAACAGCCGCCCCACATGCTCATTCAGCTGCACAACCGGCAGCACTATTCGCTTCAGCAGCATCACCACCCGCAGCAGCAGCATCAACAATAGCAGCAGCAACAGCAGCAGCAGCAGCAGGAGAGTCTTACAGCTCCTTCAAGAAGATGAGCTGGACATACACCTGCAAGGAAATGTCTGCAGACATTTGGATTAAGAAATTCCTCTGGTGTATTGTTGCTTCCTGCTGCACCCATTAAGGCAGCTAACTGACACCGCAGGTCCTCCATGCTGCTGCTGCTGTTGCTGCTGCTGTTGTTGCTGCTGTTGCTGTTGTTGTTGTTGTTGTTGTTGCTGCTGCTGCTGCTGGTGATAAGGGTGCTGTAGTCGTTGTTGCTGCTGCAGAAGGCACTGCTGCACTAACAGCAGATTCGACTTGCAGCAGCAGCAGATGAAGCTGCTGCTGCTGTTTATGCTGCTGTTGCTGTGTATGCTGCTGCTGGTGATAACGGCACTGATACGCTGCCTGCTACTGTCCTGTGCGGGCTTCACTGCTGTTGCTTCTGCTGCTGCTGCTCTTGCCAAGACCGTCATCCATACATATGGGTGGGCTGTCCTAAGCAGAACTACAAAGAATGCCTGACGTTGCAGCAGCAGCAGAAGCAGCAGCTGCAGCTGCGGCGCAAACTGGCGCAGCAGCAGAACTCGTCAGGCCTATATATAGAGACAGATCCAACCACTAGAAAGCCAATATGCTGCTGCTGCTGCAGCACCTGCAGCTGCCGACAGCTGCCCCTGGTGCAGCACCGCCTAGCTGCTGCTGCTGCAGCAGCACCTCCTCCGTGCTGCTGCAGCACCTGCTAGCTGCTGCTACAACACAAACATCAGCTGTAAGGTAATAAAAAGCTTTCCGCAGCAGCAGCCTAAGCTGATACGACAGCAGCTAGCTGCACAGAGAGGTAGCAGCTGCCTGTACACCTCAATATCAGCAGCAGCAGAAACAGAAACGGCAGCAGCGGCCGCTGCTGCCGCTGTTGCCTCCGCGCTGCATCAGCAGCAGCACCGGCAGCCGCTGCTGTTGCTCCTTTTGCTGCTGTTGAGCGATCTAATTAGATCTGCTAGCCAGCGGATCGGGGGGGAGGAGGAGGCAGCAGCCCGAGTATGAACACTGCAGTAAGAGCAGAATGAGCAGCAAATATTGTTGACTAAGGAGAAGGCAGGAGGAGGAGGAGGCGCAGCAGCAGGAGGAGGAGCAGCAGCAACGCCCATCCGCCTCCCTCCTCGCTGTGCAGCACAGCAGAGCAGCAGATCTGTTTATAGGAATGAGCCTATTTATATTGAAATATTAAAATATGCAGCAAGAAATAAATAAAACAATTAATTAATTTTGTTCTTATTGAGGCAAACAATACAACGCAACCCCCAGACAAGCTTGCTGCAGCAGGTGGGGCTGCTGCTGCTGCTGCTGCTGCTGCTGTTGCTACAGTTGCTGCAGTCGTCACAGAGGGCTGTTGTTTGCAGTGTCTGTTGATTATTCTTTGCCTTTCTTTTTTGTGTATTTCTCCCCGGTAGGAGATAAGATTGTTCCAATTGCCGCTGGTACTGCCGCTGCTGCTCTCGTGCTGCTTCGAGCTGTTGCAGCGAGTTGCTGCAGCAGCAACACCGCCGCTGCCTGCGGTGTCAGTGATCGTGCTTACAGCAGACCACTGGTCTAGGAGCAGCAGCAGGTAGGTACTTGCTGCACTGTCAACAAGACCCCTGGGCTTGCCAGAGGCCTTTAGGGCCCCCTCCACCACCAGCGGCAGAGCTGAAACACCAGCAGCAGCAGCAGCTGCTGCTGCAGGCAGCTAAACACACACAACCTGTACATACACCTAAACGCCAAGAGGATGCCCTCCACCATGTGGGAGGAAGAAGACACCTGGGAATCTCCCAGGCGCAGCGCATCCCAGCAGCAAAAGGCACAAATTGCATCTCCCGGTGCTGATACTGGTGCTGCTGCACCAGCTGCTGCAGCAACTGCTGCTACCTCTCCTCGTTATCCTCCCCCGATTGACCATCACTGGCCGTCGTCGGTGCCTCAAGCAGCAGCACCAGTACCACCACCACCACCACCACCACCACCACCATCTGCTGCTGCTCTTGCTGCCGCTGCTGCTGCTGGACTGCAGCAGGACGACGAGATGCTGCTAGGAGAAGAATCAGTATGTGATCCCCACGTTAGACTCTGCAGCAGCGAAAGTGCAACAGAGGCCTTTCCTGTTGTGGGGCCAGCCCGCAGCGCTGGTGTTACAGGAACTGCAGCAGGAACAGCAGCAGGTGCTGCAGCAGCACCTGCTGGTGCAGGACAGTTGGGGGATTGGCGCGATGCACCCGATCCAACAACTGCAGCAGAAGCAGATGTCAGTCCTGCAGGAGATGGATTCTCTGCTGCAGCAACGGCACAGCTTCAACGGGAGACCAAGGACATGCAGCAGCAGCAGGCAGCAGCAGCAGAGCAAATGCGGCGCCTACGTCTGCACCAGCAGCAGCAGCATCTGACGGTGTGTGCATGCGGGGGAGAGACGGTTGCAGCAGCTGTGGAGCGGCTTGCTGCTGAGCTGAAGGGGGTTCAGCAGCAGCAGCAGCAACAGGAGATATTGTTGCAGCAGCTGCTGCAGCAGCAGACAGCAGGCCAGCAGCTAATGAAGCAGATTTTAAGTCTTATGCAGTCAGGCCGCAGCGGAATAGAGACGGCAGCAGCCGCAAGTGCAGCAGCCGCAGCAGCAGCAGCAGCAGCAGGCAGCAGCACGGAGGCCGCGAGAAGGGGTCTTAGGAGAGGGCACATTGTGTCTCCCCCGACCCCACCAGCAGCAAACGGATCGCATGCAGATTTGCTGCAGCAGCAGTTGCTGCTGCGGCAGCAGCAGCAGCGACTAGCAGAGGAGCGTCGGCAGCAGGAGTTGCACCAGCAGTTGTTGCTGCAGCAGCAGCGTGAGCGTGAGCAGCAACAGCGTGAGCAGGAGCAACGCCGGCTGCTGCTGCTGCAGCAGCAGCAAGAAGAAGAAAGGAAAAGAAGAGAAGAAGAGCAGCGCAAGAAGAAGGAAGCACTGCAGCAGAAGCATCAGGCATTAATGTCTTCCCTTATTAAGGGGGGAGGCAGCAGCAGCAGCATATTTGCTGAGCCGCAGCCTAAGAATGGGTCATCAGGTAGCCTATTCGATGAGTAAGTGCTGCTGCTGCTGCTGCTGCTGCTGTTATTGTTGTTGCTGTTGTTGCTGTTGTTGCTGATCGTTACTGTGTTACGTACTGATTCAGCTGGTGGCTGCTGCTGCTCTGATATGCCAGCAGCAACGCCCGACACCGTTGCTGCAGCAGTAGCAGCAGCAGCACCCATTTACTGCGGAGTCTGAGATCGCAGGCGCAGCAGCAGCAGCAGCAGCAGCACCAATTAACTCTGGGATATATAAGTGGCAGCGAGCGCAGCAGCTGCTGCAGCTGCTGTGCCAGGAGCTGCTCAGCTACTGCTGTGGTGGCGGCGCCATTGGCGCCCATTTGTGTTCACTATTGCTGCTGCTGCTGCTACAGTGTGCATGCAGCATAATGTGTCGGGCTTTTTTGGTTGCTGGCAGCAGCAGCAGCAGCAGACAAACAACCTCTGACCGTTGGGCAGTAAATGCCTCCAATTGCATGCAGCAGCAGTACAGGACACACTTAGCAGCAGCAGCAGCAGCAGCAGCAGCAAGAAGTAGATAGTGCAGAAGAAGACACATACATGCATTTAAACAACTTAATTGTGGGGCCCCACACCACCTCCTGGAGTCCCCTACGGGGGGCCCCTCCAGCTGTCTCTGTCTCTGCAGCAAACGGGATACGGTAAACGGGGGGCCATGGGGGCCCCTAGGGGGCCCCTGGGGTAGATACACTTACCAAGAGGGAAGAGGGGCCCTCGATTGTGAGTAGAGAGGTACCCTTGGGGGCCCCCAAGAAGGTAATTATCTACCTAGTAACCTAGTAGAGATATCTACGTGGGGGCCCCTGGGGGATCCCCAACAGAGGCCTCTAGGGGACCTTAAGAGGCCCCTCAGAAGCCCAAATAGGGTACAGTGCAGGGGACCATTAGGGTACCGTAGGGTACTGCGGGGGGCCCCATCCGCGTACAGTTCGGGTTAAAGGGAGATATTCACGGAGGGAGAAGAGGGCCTCGTCTATTCGTCGCAGCAACAGAAGTGCAGCAGCAGCTTCCTCTCGAGGGTCTTGCAGCTGCTGCAGAGCACCAGCAGCTGCTTCAGGAGGCGCTGCTGCTGCTGCTGCTGCTGCTGCTGCTGCCGTGCCTGTACACCGCAGATGGTCTTCAACTTCAGCCCATAGCTGGGGATTTGCTGCAGGGAATTGATCTAGTAGCTGCTGGCAAAATGCTGCTGCTTTGGATACCACGCTGCTGCTGTTTCTGTTGTTGTTGTTGCTGCTGCTGTAGGGGTCGAAATAGTAGAAGGCAGCAGCGCGAAGCAGCAGCAGCTGCTGCGACAGGCTTCTTGGCTGCTGCTTTACTGTAACAACTGCAGCAGCAAGCTGCAAACTCCGCATCTCCCCTGCTTCCTGATCCTCTACGTGGAGGCCTAGGCGCTGCAGCAGCTGCTGCCTGGGTCCCTCATACTGGACGCGCTGTTGCTGCCATAGAAACGCAGCAGCAGCAATCCGTAGCAGCAGCGGCTGCGTTGCTGCTGCTGCTGTCGTGCTGCAGTAGATGCTGCTGCGGCTCCCTCGAATGAGAGTCTCTGCAACATCCAGTGCAGCTTGCTGCTGCTGCTGCAGCACCGTAACATCAGCAGCGTCAGCAGCAAATGCAGGAGAGAAGCAGCAGCTTGTTAACGAGGCAAATTGCTCAGCCAATGCCCAATGAGGAGACTGCTGCAGCAGTCCTTTCCAATCCACTGCGGGGATCACAGCGCTGCTGCTGCTGCTGCTGCTGTTGCTGCTGCTGCTGATAGGAGTAGTGAAGGGAATACTCGAGCTTACCAACGGGGTTAAAGCAGCAACAGCAGCATCGCCGTGGCAGCCAGTAGCTGCTGCTGCTGCTGCTGCTGCGGGTTCCGTCCCAGTTGTGTTAACAGAGAAGATACGGGTTAGTGGCATGACCTGCTGCCGTTGCTGCTGCTGCTGCTGCAGATGCCGCATTGCTGCTGCAGTGCCTGCATCATCGCATGCAATGACACCGTATATAGAATGGCGGAGGCCAAAGGGACTACTTAATTGTCTCTCTGCTGCTGGCAGCAGCTGCTGCAGCGCAGCAGCAATTCCTGCTGCACCTTCCTCATGGGCCTCAAGCCCATCAACTACAAACACCACACCTGCAGTCCTGCTGCTGCTGCTGCTGCTGCTGCTGCTGCTGCTGCGCTGCAGCACCTGCGCCAGACGCAGGCCTATTAGAGGCGCCGCAAAGGCTGACACAGCAGTATGCGCTGCGGGGTGTACGTACACCACCTTCAGTTGAATACGCTGCTGCTGTTGCTGCTGCTCTGCCGCAGCACCGAGGGCTCTGCGCAGCAGCAGTAACTTTTCCTTTAGGGCAGAAGGAGACATTCCCAAGAGTACGAGCACTGCTGCCGCCTCTGGTGTCTCGGCTGGTGCTGCTGCTGGCGCTGCAGCAGCAGCTGCTGCTGATAGTTGCTGCAGCCATGATGCAAGACTCTGCAGCAGCACCGCTGTCTTCCCATCTCCTTGGGGTCCTTGCAGCAGCAGCACGTCCCCTGCCTGCTGCGGCAGCAAACTATCTAAAGGGGCCCACCCAGACAGAAGCAGCGGCCTGCTGCTGCTGCTGCTGTTGTTGTTGCTCCTGCGCTGCTGCTGAGGGCCCCATATGGGCAAGGCCGGTGGAGGACGCTGCAGATTTGCTGCTGCTGCTGCTGCTGTGGCTTCCTGGTGCAGCTGCAGCAGCGCGTCAGCAGCTGACAGCAGCTCAACGGATACACCACATTCCTCCCAAAATTCCTTGCTGCTGCTACTGCTGCTGCTGTTGCTGCTGCATGCAGCATCTGAAAGTTTGCATGGGGTCTCTATTGGGATCTGCTGTTGCTGCTGCAGCCGCCGCAGCAACTCATCAAAACTGCATTGTGCTGTTGGTGGTGCTGCCGCTGCACCACCCCAACTACCTGCAGCAGCAGCAGCAGCAGCAGGAGTTGCTGCTGCTGCTGTCCCCTGCAGCTGCCCCACAACTACATGATTTGTTAGCAGCTGCAGCACAACAGCAGCAGCATTTGTGTTCTTCAGCAGCACCAAATCGCCTAGTCTTGCTCCTTCAAGTCCTTCACATAAACACAAGTCTCCTGAATGCAGCAGCAGCAGCAGCAGCAGCAGCAGCAGAATATGTTGTATAACAGCAGCAACAGCAGTAACGGATCCAGTAAATGCTGCAGCACCAGTAGCTGCTGCAGCACAGCAGCGGCTGCAGTAACAGCACTGCAACAGCTGCAGTAGCAACATAGATTGACAGTGAACCCAACAGCAGCAGAAGCTGAGGGGAAAGAACAGCAGCAGCAGCTGCTGCTGCTAATGTGCGTGAGCAGCACGACAGCATGACGTACAGGCATGCATGTAGCGCATGCAGCAGCAGCGAGCACAGATCAGTCAGCAGCTACACGGATGCAGTACAACAGCAGCAACATGTTAGCAGCAACACGAACAGGAACAACAGCAGCACACTAGCAGCAGCACCAGCAGCAAGAACATCAGCAAGAGCGCATGCAACCGCAGAACAGACAACAGCAGCAGCAGCAGCAGCAGCAGTACCTAGTGCTTCGATAACACAGCCTTCCTTCTGTGAAGTAAACTTGCTGCTGTCCAGCTGCCCCTGCAGCTGCCTGATGAGGGCAGCAGTACTCTCGCATGCAAGCCCTCGTTGCTGCTGCTGCTGCGGTTGCTGCTGCTGTTGCTGCAGTTGCTGTTGCTGCAGCAGTCGTTGGTGTGGCTGCTGGGCGATCTTCGTGGGCCTCCTATAGGAAGAGGCAAAGCGAGCTGTCTCATTTGCAGCAGCATAAGCAACAGTTGTTGCTGCAGTACTTGTTGCCGTTGCTGTTGCTGTTGCTGCTGCTGCAGGTGCAGCAGCACGAGCAGCAGCACGGAGTGTATCGAGAGCTATGGGGGTTCTTTTATAGATATTCCCCCTTGCCGCTGCAGCGGCTGCTCTTAACATTGGTGTATTAAATAAATATATTTCTTGTTTAATAACTATTTGTCTCCTCATTACTCTTCTTTATTCTTATCTGCTGCTGTTGCTGCTGCTGCTGCCGCAGCAGCAGCAGCAGCAGCAGCAGCAGATGATCTGTTGTCGGGTCGGTCGGCTGCGGCGGGGCTGCTGCGGGGGCCCCCCTAGCAAAGGGTTTATTAATGATTGTTTATTTGTCTCTTAATAAGAGACATTATATTTAAAGTAGTTATTGTGTCTCCTTATTCTTGTACCTGTGTCCTTGGGGCCCCCAAGACACAGCAGCAGCAGCAACAGCAGCTGCAGCAGCAGCGGTGGCAGCAGCAGCAGCAGCAGGGGCCCCTGTTGAGGTCAAGACTCAAGGAACAACAACACAGAGATAAAGCAATTATCCTAAGGGTATTCACACACACATACAAACTCTTCCTGCTGCTGCAGCGGCAGTTTCTGCTGCATTTGCTGCTGCTGCAGTTCCTGCTGCAGTTGCTGCTGCAATTTCTATTGCTGCTGCAGTTGCTGCTGCTTACAGCAGCTTTGTTAGGGTTCATTATAATAAGTAGATCCACTATAAACCCTTTTCAATATACTAAACCCTAAACCCTAAACCCTCTTCTATAAACCCTAAACCCTAAACCCTAAACCCTCGTCTATAAGGAGCTGCCTCATCCCCCTCTCTGTCTAAACCCTTTTACCCCCCATAGCTATGGCAGATCATTGTGGGGGGCCCCCGCCTCCCTCTTCTTGCGGGGCCCCCTCTGTCCAACCTCCTTGTGGGCCCCCCGCAGTCCCCTCATCTTGTGGGGATCCCTCTGCGGCTCCCTCTTCTTGTGGGGGCCCCTCCTCAGTACCCTCTACATATAGGGGCCCCTTAGCAATTAAGAAAAGGGATATAGGGGTACAGACAAGTGTACCCTCAAGGGAGTATGTGGGGCCCCGGGACAGGGCCTCCCAGGCCCCTGAATTCTTTAAGAAAGGATGGATGCATAGGTACTCCTTTTTTTTTTGTCCTTTTTTATCCCTTTTTATCCCTTTTTATCCCTTTTTATTCCTTTTTATTCCTTTTTCCCCTTCCTTTATCCTTTTTATCCTTTTTAATGCACTTTTACCCCATTTATTCTCCTTTTTATCCCCTTTATGCCTTTTTATTCTTTTTTTTACTCCCTTTAACCTTTTTTTTTTGTCCCTTGGCCCTCCTTTTTATTCCTTTTTCCTCCTTTTTCTTTCCTTCTTTCCCCCTTTTTAACCAATAAACAAATAAATAAATTAATTAATATAATTAATTAATTAATTGTATTTATTTATTTATTTATTTATTTATTTATACAGGCCTAAGACTGTCTCCTCCTTATGTATAGCTCTTTTTCTTATATTTATTTCTGCACAAATTCTTTCTCAACAAGAAAACACAAGAAGATTCAGAATCATCGCGTAAGAAATTATTTTCTCCTTTTTTTCTCCTTTTTGTCCCCTTTTTGTCCCCTTTTTGTCCCCTTTTTGTCTCCTTTTTGTTTCCTTTTTGTCTCCTTATTGTCTCCTTACTGTCACCTTATTGTCTCCTTACTGTGTCCTTACTGTCTCCTTTTTTTCTCCTCCTCATTGTCTCCTTTCGCCTTCTCCTTACTGCCTCAGTTTTTTCTCCTCCTTACTGTCTCCTTTTGCCTCCTTTTATCTCCTTACTGTCTCCTTTTGTCTCCATTTGTCTCCTTACTGTCTCTCTCCCAACTGTCTCCTTTTGTCTCCCTACTGTCTCCTTTTGACTCCTTACTGTCTCCGTTTGTTTCCTTACTGCCTCCCTAGCATTATTATTTGCTGCTGCTGCTGCTGCTGCATTATTATGATTTGTTGCATTTGCTGCATTTACTGCATGTGCTGCTGCTGCTGCTGCTGCTGCTGCTGCTGCTGCTGTGTGCAGTGGCTTTTTAGCAGCATTATTTATATTTTTATTATTTGGTACTTTACAATTCCCTGATGGTCTCCTTGTTAGACCATCGCCAATCTTTTGGCGATTTGTTAAGAGTTGTAGTGTTGCTTATCTTCTTGCTCTTGTCTTCCTTCTCTTTCAGGTCAGTATATAAAAGGGTTAAGGGTTTATGGGAGGGCTTAGGGTTTATGGGAGGGTTTAGGGTTTAACAGAGGGTTTAGGGTTTAACAGAGGGTCTAGGGTTTATGGTAGGGTTTAGGGTCTAACAGAGGGTTTAGGGTTTATGGAGTAAGAGAGGGTTTAGGGTTTAAGAAGGTTTAGGGGCGAGGATTGATGGTTTAGGGCTAACATTTTAGGGTTTACGGTTTAGGACTGTCTGTGCGATAGTTTGTCCTTCTTATGGTTATTTTAGTGTCTCCTTTCTTGTCTCCTTTACTGTCTCCTTTATTGTCTCTTTTTGTGTGTCTCCTTTTATTAGAAATTAGAGGATGTACGAGGAGGTCTGAATTCAATTGATCCTCGTGCAGGTGTCCCTCTTAAGGAAGTTAATTATGCTGATAGTTGTAATTCATGGGCAGGATTTATGGTACCTCCATATAAACCCTAAACCCTAAACCCTAAACCCTTAAAACCCTTAAAACCCTTCCCTTTCCCCAACAAAAGAAAAAACCTCTATACTATAACCCCTTATTTTGTTTGAAATAATAATATGTATATATAATTTGTGTTTATGTGTGCATATATATATCCTGTAATAAAAAAAAATAAAAAAAAAGGAGAAAATGGATATATTTGTATTAGCCCATTTTTTTGGTTGGCTTATAAAAGGACTCGTAATTCGAGACGTTCGACTTTTGTGGTTTTTATCATTTTTATTTGAATTTATGGAAATCACTTTTAGACATATTCTACCCAATTTCCATGAATGCTGGTGGGACCATGTAAGTGTACCTGCTGCTGCTGGTCCTGCTGCTGCTGCTGCTGCTGCTGCTCCTGCTGCTGATGATGATGATGATGATGGTGCTGCTGATGATGATAGTGTTGCTGCTGTTTTAGACATATTCTACCCAACTTCCGTGAATGCTGGTGGGACCATGTAAGTATACCTGCTGCAGCAGCAGCTGCTGCTGCTGCTGTTGGTGATGGTGCTGCTGATGATGATGATGGTGTTGCTGCTGTTTTAGACATATTATACTTAACCTTCATGAATGCTGGTGGGATCGTGTTAGTATTGGGCTGCTGGTGTTGCTGCTGTTGCTGCTGGTGTTGCTGCAGCAGCTGCTGGTGTTGCTGTTGCTGCTGCTGTTGCTGATGGTGCAGCTGCTGTTGCTTTTGGTGCTGCTGCTGCTGTTGGGGGTGGTAATGGGGGTGGTTATGGTGCTACTGATGGTGCTGCTGGTGATGGTAGTCTTTGTGGTTGTGTGTGTGATGGTGGTGATTGTGGTGGTGTTGGATATTGTATATTGCTGCTGTTATTTCTGCTGTTGCTGTTGCTGCTGCTGTTGCTTCTGCTGTTGCTATTGCTGCTGCTATTGCTACAGTTCTTGCATGTGATTATATATTGTCCTTCTCCTCCTTCTTGCTGTTGCTATTATTGTTGCTGCTGCAGTTATTATTAGATGTACTTGGCTGCAACATGGCGGGTATATATTTAGGTTTATTTTTATGTAAAAGATTACAAATGTTACAATATAATTGGCATTTTAATTATGAATATCCTTTTCTTGCATTAAGTGAATCAGCAACAAGATCTTTATCAAGAATTAGTCTATTATCTCCTACAGGTACAGCAACACCAACAGCTAAACAAATATCACCAGCAGCTAGTGTAGCACCAGCACCAACACCTGCAGCAGCACCAGCAGCACCAACACCAGTAGATGGTGGTGGTAGTGGTGGTGGTGGTGCTGCTGCTGCTGGGGTAGCAGAAAGAGCAGCACCAGCAGCAGCAGGTTCTGCTGCTGCAGATGGAGAGTTGGGAGGACAGAATTGCTGCGAAGAGAGGGAGACGGAAAGAGCAGCAGCAGCACCAAATGCAGCAGCAAATGCAGCAGCAGCAGCAGCAGCAGCAGCATCGTCGTCTCCTGTATGTGATACACCAACTGTGGAGGCACAATGGGATGGTGGGGAAGATAAGGAGCAGCAGAAGCAGCAAAAGATGCTGCTTGAGCTACACAGGCAGCAGCAGATGCAGCAACAGCAGCAGCAGCAGCAACTGCAGCAGCACCTGCTAAAGCTGCAGCAGCAGCAGCAGCAGCAGCAGCAGCAAGGATGGCATACAGAGAAACGCCATCAGGAGCCACGATCACCACTAAAGGCAGCCTTTAAGCAATTCCTCCCTTATGAGTTGTACGTCTCCTTGCTGCTGCTGCTGCAGCAGCAGCAGCAGCAACTACTGCTTCTGCTGCTGTTGCATCTGTTCCTACAAACCACTCTCCCTGCTGCTGCTGTCCCCTAATTCTGTTTACCCTCCTCCTCCTTTCCCTCCCTTTCCTGCTGCTGTTGCTGCTGCTATAACCTAACTATTCATTAAATCTATATGTATATGTGCTGTTTTTGCTGCTGCTGCTGCTGTTGCTGCTGCTGCTGCTCTTTTGCTCCCTTCAGGACAGCATACCGTTGGCCATCTCTTCTTCATTCAGTTCGTTCTTTTTTATTAATATTATTCTTTTGTTTAATTGTTACTTTATTAGATCTAAATATATTTTTCTTAAAAGCTGAGCTGTATATACACAGTGATCATTGGATTGTTATAGCAAGAACAGCATTATTTGCATGCGCTGCTGCTGCTGGTACCAGGGAATTCTATGCATTCCTTACGGACAGGTATATTCATTGCTGCTGCTGCTGCTGCTGCTGCTGCTGTTGCTGCTGCTGTTTGCTGCTGTTTGCTGCAGCATTTGATGTTTTATTCTTATACATATTGTAATCCTTTTCTCCTTCCTGTGTGTGTGATCTCTTGCTGCTGCTGCTCTTTCTGCTGCTCTCTTTTTGCTGCTTTTTCTGCTCTTTCTGCTGCTGCTGCTGTTGCTGCTGCTGTTACTGTTGCTGTTGCTGTTGCTGCTGC